TATGGCGGCTTCATCATGTAGGCATGATCAGTCGCTACCTGCATTTCCAGCCCCTCTCTCCTCTCCGGAGAATAGAGGGTGGAGCTGAAAATTCTAAGCTTGTAATCATGGTTTGGTCTTTCTGGTGACCAGCCCGCAGCCGGGAACACCAAGAGTATCTCATTAGAACAACAGACACGGCTTTCAATCAGGAAACTCCAAGGGATTTAGGAACTCTGGGTCAGGAACTGCGGTGAAAGCGGTGAAAGACTAAATATCAGAACAAAAGATGCCTCTAATGCTCTTATCACTTAGGAAATACAAGGGTTTTAGGAACTCTGTGCCAGGACCAGGGAGCAGAAACTGATATACATATTCTCTATTATATCACAGCTCTAAATAGTCTCCTTGAAAACAGTATTTCACTGTTTAAGAAAATTTGTTTTAATCAAACACTTCAGACTTACTAAATTTGCAAGCAATGTTTTAAATGCTTTGGATGATTTATTTGTTTTTAGCAGTTGTGACCTGGTAGATGCAGCATTTGTCAACTTCCATTATATAAATACTTCCATTATAGCCAAATCTGAGCTACCAACGAGATGTCACTGAAGCTGAAGTTGGAAAGAAATGTGCTCAGTCATCTCTCATAAGTCTGTGCATGCTGGTCTCAGCTTATCACTGTTTGCAAGTCAGCATCAGTAGGGGTTTGAATAGCTTCAGAAAATCAGACGTTATATTTCAGAACCACTAGGGGAATATAAATGTATGTACTTAAACAGTTTTAAAACGTTCAGAAGAACTTGCAATTTGTGAGAGTTGTAAGTTAATTGAATATTAATCAAGTAAATAATGTTAAAACAGACACTTCTACATGTATTTTTAAATCAAAAGATTTATCTTCAATCACAAAGTGAATAATAAGCTCAAGGACTTTCTAAAATAAAACATTTTAAGTTACCAACTTTAATAAATCAGATATTGATTTAAACAAAAGCAACCATGTTTTTCTTTCTCTTTTTTTTCCCTAAAGTACAAAATCCTCCTTCAACATTAGAAAACAAAATTAACTCAAATAACAATAGCTGGGAGTTGAGGAGCAGCCAAGGGAAACGTGTGAATAGAAATCCCAGGTTATCTTGCTCCCTCTTCTTTAAATTTGTCACTCTAAATCTTATCATCTTTAAAAACCAACACACCAATTAGCTAATCTGATAAATTAAGTCATGCCGAAAGGAATAGGAACAAGACATAATATGGACAACATATTTGTGATTTAACATTAGCTATACTTAAATCAATAGGCAAATTTTCAGTCAGACAGGAAAAGCAGGACCTGATTTAACAAATCCCTGGAAGTGTTTTAGGACAGGAGGCTATGCACACTGCAGAATTCAATTCCTAGCACATTTGCCAAAAATGTACACGTGACTCCGGCCATCTTTGCATTCCACTGCAATGATAAGAATGGTCTCGAGAACATCAACAATGCCAAAAAAGAGACCCAAATGCCA